AATGCTGATCCCCTCTCTCTCTCTCTCTCTCTCTCTCTCTCTCTCTCTCTTTTTCTGAGACAGGATCTCACTTTGTAGTTCAGGCTGGCCCCGAATTCACTATGTAGCCCAGGTTAACCTAGAATTTGTGGCGATCCTCCTGCTTCAGCCTTCTGAATTCTGGGATTACAAGCATGCACCACCACACTGGGTTTAACTTTTTCTCTTAAAGCGATACCCATCACCCTCCAAAAAAATTACAGGATTCATCTTTCAATAACCCAGAAAAGATTTAGCCAATAAAAAAATGCAAATATCAATCTAGATATACTTTAATAATTGTGCTTTTGTAATCAGAATTTTAAAATTACTGATACTATGTTTTCTTCTTTGAATTAAAAGAATATGGTTTGATTTATGATTAAAAAATCACTAGTATTATTCTTTGAATAAAGCATCCAGAACAATGTGCACTGAAATCTTAACACCAACCATATCAGTTGAGATTTAACTGTGTTATAAATTGTGTCATTAATTGATGTGTAATGATTGCATTTCATGTCTTAATTTTTTGTGATGTTTGGTAAATAATTTTACTTCCTTATGTTTTCTTATCCCAAGTGTAAAATGAAAACCTATCAATTTCTCCAGATTTTCCTCATTAGTTTAGGGAAAAAAAAACTTTTATAGAAATTATGAGTCTGGAAAACAATGATAAATAAACTAGTATTTTTAACACTTGGTCATCTGTAATATTTCAGTGATTTGAACTGCATTTCAGTGGCTATAAAAATACAATAAAAATATGCATCTTTACCATTTCTCAGTTCCAACATTTCTGCTGATTGAAATGCTCAAGATAACTTTCTTTAAGAAATCTTTTTTTTTTTTTGGTGTGCATTGCACTAAAAGTTACCAAATAAAGCTTTATTCTCATATCTGACTTCTGATGCAAACAAGTCAAAGTTAAAAGTGAATGGCTGAGAAAGAAAATGCTTTATTTCTATAACATACAGTCCAGAAACACATCCTACCATTGAGAAAAATGGGTGTTCACACAGCCAGCAGACAGGACACTGGCCTGGGGGTGGGTCACTAATTAGGGAGCCTCCTCAGCTGAAGATTCAGAGGCAGATACCTGTGTCACTCACTTCACAGCTCTGTGGATCTCCAACCAAGAGAAGGGCACAGGAACCACTGGAAGATGGTTTCTCAGGACAGAGAGAGCAAGGCAAATGTGGCTTAGCAAACTTGGGTCTATACAGGTGAGGAAACCAAAGGTCCACAGAGAGGATGGCTAATTTATCCAAGGGTAGGGAATGCTGTAAGCATCACCTCATTCTGGCTGCTCAGCTGGTGCCAGGCAATCAACTCTGACAATTAAATATATGTTTATATGAACACATTTATACACACACACACACACACACACGCACACACACACATATTCATGTATTTGTAAGGGAGAGCTCTCTTCCACTTGGGCCCTCTTGGACATGGAACAGTTTTAACCATAATTTGAGTATTTGTGCTAAAATTATAACTTTTTATGTAATTTAATCCCCTAGTTAACAAAAATTTTTTAAAATGTAGGTGCTTTTGGTGACCATTCTATTATCATCTCTTTTCAGTGAAGTAAAGCCCAGTGTCTGGCTGTTAGTGGCAGGTCTCAGGTGGGTGGTGTGTTGGGGTAGTGTGTGGAAGGGTGTGTGTGTGGGAGACAGGTGCAGGATTCAGGCTGCGTGAGTGTGTGTTGGTATTATGAGATTTTTAGGTGGACAAGACTGGGAAAGAACTGCATGGAAGAGAATTTCAAGCTCTAACACAGCATTTAAAAAATTTTAAATAGTAGTATAAATACTGCAAGTAAAATAGTTTTATTACTATTAACAGTATTCGATTCAGTGAGTTAACATTTTGCTATTGGGCTGCAAGCTGGTCCTCTTTAAATGGCTAGAGTTTTCATTTTATATAAAAGATTAATTTGTGCTTGCCACTGACACTGTTGCTAGCTAACAGGATATATCAGTGAGAGAAAATACCTAGGTGGAGTATATATATCTTCAGAAATTCTCATCCATACTCAGATGAGTTGTCTTTGGGAAAACAGACTCACATGAAAGTATCATCTTCTAGTGGAAGGGTTTTTAAATTTAATGATAGTTACCTATAAAGTAAACCACTTATAAATTTCACCATTTTTCCCTAGAGAGACTGATTTAAGAATACAAGAAAATGATTGTTTCATGAAATTTTCCTGGCATTTTGTAGTATTTTTAATTGTTTTAAATAAAAAATTTATTGTATATATTTAAAATATATAACCTGACATTATGGGATACATATAGAAAGTATAAAGTTTATTACAGTGAAGCAAATTAACATATCCACCATCTCTAAATGACCTTATGTTTTTTGTTTTGCATTGTTTTTTGCAATGAAAGCAGTTAAACCTACTCATTTGACATGAATCCCATACACAATACAA